AGGCCATCAAATTAATTCGAAAATCAGGCCTGAAATTTTTTTCAGGTCTGATTTTCACTATTGCTCAAATAGTGCTTTACTGCGAAGGATCGTGCTCATATACGTCTCATAACCGCAGTTCACTCATATGTTTCATATGTTTGTTGTTGTTTAACTAGCTATAACTGAAAACCCTGTCAACAGTGGTGACACTATGAGCAGAGGGTCCACTATACTTTTTGCATGGAGCAAGATTGGGTAATTGTGAATTGTTTATTTAAATGTAACATGTGAATGGAGAGCTGAATCAAACATGATTCGTGAACCATTTTGTTTTGAGCTACGAATTTCTGGCTACTTCAAAGAGCTAAACTTGAAGGATCAATAGCTTTATAAACAGATTAGAAAAAGTAAAAACATTATGAATTTTTGCATGAACGTGAAAGAACTTTGGTTATTATTTGTGATGTGTGAAAAGGCCAAATGTTTTTACATGACCGACTTTTACAAAAGGGTATAGGGAACCCTCTGAGTTAGGAATTGCAGAGTAAAAAAGTGAGTTTATATCCTACACACCTTTGCTTGTACTGTTCTACCATTGGGTTGTTGAATTTTTTCCCCAAAACATTTTGAATGTAAATGTAAGAACTCTTTGGATACTTGACTGACTGCAAACACAATAATTAATGATTAGAAAGTTTAACAATAAGCAGTGATCCAGGTTGCAACCATGGTAAGTGAAAAATATCTACAGCAACTAATATTTCAGGGAAAGTCACCAATTGACAACTAAAAGATAAACAAACAAAACAAAACAAAACGCTTGAAAAATTTCCATGTTTGGTCAAACAATCAATTGTACAGGTGGTATCTACAGTCCTAATCTCTTTTTCTCTTGAGCTTGGAGCCCCTGCCAAAGAAGACCTGATATGATGAATTGAGCACCTGGAGTCATAAAAATGCCATCAAGTCTCTACAGCAAAGCATGAGACCAATTGTTTTGGATGTAAGCTTCAAGAACTACTTGAAAATTATGCAAAAACAATCTAATGGAAATATGTCAATTTTCTGAAACTTATTCAAATGCTTTTAACATGCCTTTCATATGCATACGAAATTAGAATGTGTAAAAAAGTTCTGAATTTTACTATCATGAGCCCTGAGTAAGCACACAAATGCAACTGATTGTAATGATCCTTAGATCCAAATAAGATAATTCTCACCAGAATTTTCAAACATACCGTGGTCAAAGCACCATCACTGAATAAGCGCTCATTATCTCTGAGAGATACAGCTACTGGTGTTTTCCGTCTCGATTCCCTTAGAATACATATCAATCCAAGGTTATTATTAAAATGGCAAATAAAAGATACATTTGTAGATTATGTATTTTGTAATGGTAATAAGACTGATTCTGTAATCATACCAGTGATATTCAAAATTATACAACTGCAAAGAGGGAGTCTGATTTGTTAATTACCAGTATGATTACAGACAGAATTAGGCAACGTAAAGTTCTGTTACCAATTTTGTGTCAAAATGTAAGAAAAAAACTAGCCATCTGTTCTATGTTTTCCTCCGAATATGCATGCGCATGTGTACTGTCAAATTACACAGGCATGTGTTCACTGTCCAATTAGTGTTCAAATCAAGCTGTTGAAAACCAATCACATTTCAGAATTTTGTCAGTTATGATTTTGATAAATTCTCTTATCTGCTACAAGTAGAAACCGCTTGAGGTAAATAATCATAAATGAAAGGAAAGAATCTGAGAAATCAAATAAGATATCTATATCTTCATTTGCACAAAGAAACCATTCCAACTCTACACTTCAAATTGATGCTGTGATACCCTACCAAGGAAAGAACTTAAGGATACAAGACAAAATTTTTAACATACACTGCCAATTAAGCAACTTAACTTCTTATAATTGACATTTTCAGTCATAACTTACGTGTTCAGGGCAATTTCCATTGGTACACCAGGCTGAAACAGAACAAAAATGAAATATGCACATAAGTTTAATTATGAATATATCAATAATCTGATTAAAACTAGCAAATACGAAGAAATTGTGGAAGCCATACACGTAGTTGCATTTAAAACATTGTGTGCCACCTCAGGAGATCAACGGAAACCAACTCCACATCCCAAAAGCACCCTGTTCATGAAATTGCTTGCCCAGCTAGTGACCAAGATCAACTGACTTACTTATCAACCCTCAACCCTAACACCAGTTTGCATATTATCCATACTGTTCTCTACACTTTTCCTAGGGTGCTGACAAGGAGAATTTGTTCAGCAATCAAGAGCTCCTTTCGTTGGTGATCATTTCCTTTACTCTCATGACCTTAAAGTTCGATGCAGAGTTGATATTCTAAGGAGAAGTTAAATGCTAATCAGTGTTAAGGGTCAAAGGGTTCAGACACTCTCCCTTACACAGGAGTGAGCAATACATTCTCCCTGTAATTATGATACACTGTTTAAAAAAAAAAGGAAACCTTCTGATTGACATGATTTCTAATTCTCATGAAGACCCACTAGAGAAATGTATTTTCACACGTTAGGATAATTAACATCAAAATCTTGAAAGTGGACAAATGAAAACATACCTTCACTATGGCTATCTTCATAAACTGACTACCAAGATCCACAGACATCACAGCTAAACCATCTGTTGACCAGAAAAACAAGCAAACAAACCACAAGATCATTAATTCAAAATCTCAATCCTAAAGATTATCTTACATCACCTAACATGAGAGTTCTATTTATCTATTACCAGACTGCTACTTTTT